AACTAGAGGGAGCAGATGGCCACAGCAATGTTATGAGGATGTGATGTCAGGCAGGGTTAAAGGATGAATTGAGAGCCCTGCACCCAACTACTTCTGTGTCTGTGCCTAGGCCCTTGTCAGGGTAGTCTCTGTCTCAAAGGAGAATGTAGCTGGTCAGCCTGGTCCCATTTCTCATTTCCAGTCACCTCCCCTTGTTGCCATCCAATATAATGGGGTTAGTCTCCTGGACAGATCTCATACAGAGGTTGCTAGGATTTGCTGTCCAAATGACCCTTTGGACCTATTTCCCAGGCATGTTCCAAGATGATGGTAAGGAGTCTAGCACCACAGCCAGTGTGACATTTCTATCCAGATAACTCCTGGCTCACAGGCCTCCCACCAGGCTCTTACCCACTCCGATGTTTTCACCCTGACTCCTAAGAAGTAGATTGGCAATTTAGTGTGAGTCTGTCAGACAGCCTAGCAAGTAATCAATACTGTGAGAAATGGACATATTTCCTGTTTATTCAAAATCCTAATGAAAATTTTAAGGAGCACTATTTGGGAAGGGATGATTGGGAACCTTTCAAGAACAAACAGCTTAGAATTCATGAACAGAAATAGCAACGTTTATTCATAATGTTTCAGATGCTCCTAATACTCACATCTTTATATATTACAGACCCCTTTCATATGTGTTACGGCTTTTGAACCTTAGAGCAACTCTGTGAGGGAAGTAGTGTTAAGGATTACTATTCCCACTTGACACTTGAGAAAACTAAGGCCCAGGGAGCTTTAAAGAGAGTTAGGGACCATCTAATAGTCATGGTGGCAGAGCCCAAAACAGAACGATGATTTGGAAAATGAGTACTCCTGGGTTTGAAATCTGGTGCTTGCCACTTTCTAGTTGTGTGACCTTGGGCAAGTTACTTGGCCTCTCTGAGCTCAGTTTCCTTCTCTGTAATACGAGGATAACAATGTCTACTACTTATGATTGTGTATGAATTTAATGATATAATTAATGGAAAATGCTAGCACAGTACAGAACACGTGTTAGGAGCTCAGTAACTGCAGGTGTCCTGTCTCATAGGATAGTGTTTTCAGTATATTGTTTTCTGAGTCTTTGAAAATTGATACTTTCACTGCAGTAAAATAGACTACATATAATAAATTCTCATTAACCAGAGTATCATTTAAGTGCCTCACTAGGTTAAGAGAACTGGATAAGAAGGGAAGGCAGGGTGCTCCAGGCACTGGCTAAGTACTCCTGATGCAAATCACAGTAGGTTAGAGCTGACAGGGACCCTAGAGATCTGTCCCAGTGTGTCTTCCTCAAATTGTGTCTTCCTCAGAAGAGATGTTAATAATTTGGGAAATATCAGATTGAATAATGCTAATAAGTACATTTCTTTACTGCTGACTTCTCAGACCCTTATTGTGTGTGTCTCTTGGGAATGAGTTGAGAGTGGAATATGCCAAATTTCCTCTTCTTGTTTGACCTTGGAGCCCCTTTTTTGAGGAACTTTCATTAACATCTTGAGGAACCCTGGTTTTCCATGGAAGATTTCATGTAACAGACTCAGTCCAGTTCTTTAATTTTTAAGATGAGGCAAGCTTAAGGTCTGTAACCAAGGTCTACAGCCCATGGCAGAACCATGGCAGAACCAAGTCTAAATCTCAGGGTGCCTAACTCTTTCCTAGGCCACATTATAATTTGTACTCCATCATTGTTCCTTTTCTAGCCAGCAAATCCTAAAATTACAGAGGATCCTGCAAACCACTAATCAGAGAGCATTGTTAGAGCGTCAAGCTTTCTGTTTTGATGTGTTTATCCCAGTAGGCAGGAAAATGAGGAAACAACAGGCTTAATGGCCATCAGATGTTTCCAAACAGTTGAAGGACCAGGGGTCAGGTAATTATCTCAGTAACTGGAAAGGTGCCCTTACCCTGCAAAGTCGAACTCTGTTCTTCCTGCTGTAAGAGGTTTGAGTTACATCTGGGGGACTCATCCAGTAGGCCCACAGTCCAGCTCCTACTGAGAACTAAGCTCTGACACCAGTAATATAAAAAAGATCCTTAGAGGGGTTTGAAGAGAATATATCAAATTTCTGCTCCTCTGTCACCATCTCCATCACAAAATTGAGTGGGTAGGAATATCCTGCTGGATTTCTATCCAGACAGTGGCAGAGGAAGTTGGCTTTGGCATTTGGCGAGGCTATCCTATCCTTGCATTTTACTAAGCCTTCTAGTTCAGATCAAGTTTTTCTTTTCTTTTTTTTTTTGAGACAGAGTCTCACTCTGTTACCCATGGGGGCTGGAGTACAGTGGCGCGATCACGACTCACTGCAACCTCCCCCTCCTTAGTTCAAGCGATTCTTGTGCCTTGGCCTCCCGAGTAGCTGGGGCTACAGGCATGCACCACCACACCTGGCTAATTTTTTTGTATTTTTAGTAGAGATGGGGTTTCGGCACGTTAGCCAGGCTGATCTCGAACTCCTGACCTCAGGTGATCCACCCGCCTTGGCCTCCCGAAGTGCTGGGATTACAGGTGTGAGCCACCGTGTCCCTCCCAAAAATACCACATTGGCCGGACGCGGTGGCTCACGCCTGTAATCCCAGCACTTTGGGAGGCCGAGGTGGGTGGATCACGAGGTCAGGAGATCGAGACCATCCTGGCTAACACGGTGAAACCCCATCTCTACTAAAAATACAAAAAATTAGCTGGGCGCAGTGGCGGGCACTTGTAGTCCCAGCTACTCAGGAGGCTGAGGCAGGAGAATGGCGTGAACCCGGGAGGCGGAGCTTGCAGTGAGCCGAGATTGCGCCACTGCACTCCAGCCTGGGCGACAAAGCGAGACTCCATCTCAAAACAAACAAACAAACAAAAAACCCACCTTTAACTTTGCAAGTTTATACGGTAGATTGTTCAAAGCACATCTGATCTCAACACAATCCTGTGACATAGAGGTTCTTTTCCAGGTATCATATGAGGACGTTAAGGCTCAGAAAAGAGATGGTGAGTTGTCCAGGGTTTGACAGCAAATTAGTGATAGACCCTTTTCACAGATGCTTAGTGCAAGGCCGACATTTAGTAAATGTTCAATAATTTTTTTTTTTTTTTTGAGACAAGGCTTCACTGTGTCACCCAGGCTATAGTGCAGTGGCACAGTCATGGCTCACTGCAGGCTCAACCTTCTGGGCTCAAGTGATCCTTCCACCTCACCCTCCCAAGTAACTGGGACTACAAACATGTACCACCATGCCCGGCTAATTTTTTAATTGTTTTTAGAGACAGAGTCTCACTATATTGCCCAGACTGGTCTTGAACTCCTGAGCTCAAGCAGTCCTCCTGCTTTGGCCTCCCAAAGTATTGGGATTACAGGTGTGAGCCACCATGTGTGGCCAAAAAATATTTATTAATTGAAAATTTTAATACATTCTCAGGGATTAACTTAAGGTCTCCTAACTCTTTGCCCAGTATTCTTTCCATTAAGATTGCTTGGTGGGGCCAGTGGTTGGGTTTCATCTCAGGGTGACCAGATAGTAAAGAGAGGGAGGGCTGGATCTCTGTCACTATTGATATGCTGACAAGGATGGCATTTTCTGGCCTTTGCTGCAGTCCTTATACATACTCCCCACTACAGAAAGCCCAGATTCAGTAGTCTCTGGGCTGCAGACTCAAGCTTTTATTGCCTTTGCTCCCTGTAGTATACTGAACAATGACACCAGTGACCCCCAGCTTCTCACTCTGCCTTCTCCTTTATTTTCTGTCTCATCAGTGTCTTGCCTCTCCTTCTATTCTGCTGATGGATGAGGAACTTGAGCTCATTTCACAAACATCAGCTACAAGGTTCACTGTTAAGGAGTTGGTGTGTCACATACCTTGGGAAACCATTTACTGAAAAACGCCCACCTAGGATTCTTTCACCTGTTCACTAGCAGAAATTTCACTGGTTGCCAGGGTAATGCTGGAGGCTGGGATTGCAAAGATTAATAAAACAGTCTCTGCCTTCAAGGAGTTCAGAATTTAACGGAGGGAGACAGATATGTAAATACAAAAGTGCAGCAGATGTTGCAGTAGAGGTCAGCAGAGAGTATCTGGGTCCAGAGGAGGGAGTGGCTGGATCTGCCTACAGGGTGGGAAACAAAAGCTTTCCCAAAGAGTGTTCTATAGGGACATCACATCCGTGGGTTTGTACTCAGAACACTCATGGCCCCAGCCACACCACCAGATCAGAAATTGGTTCCAGGCCGGGCATGGTGGCTTACGCCTGTAATCCCAGCACTTCGGGAGGCCAAGGCAGGTGGATCACTTGAGGTCAGGAATTCGAGACCAGCCTGACTAACGTGGTGAAACCTTGTCTCTACTAAAAATACAAAAATTAGCCAGGCGTGGTGGCACATTCCTGTAGTCCCAGCTACTTGGGGGGCTGAGGCACAAGAATCGCTTGAACCTGGGAGGTGGAGGTTGCAGTGAGCCGAGGTCGTACCCCAGCCTGGGTGACAGAGTGAGACTGTCTCAAGGAAAAAGAGAAAGAAATTGGTTCCAGTCGTACTTTATTGGTGAAGCTGTCTCTCTCTCAATCTTACTCATGTTTAGAGTATGATATTTTGAGCTATCTGTTAAATGGGGGCAATAGTAATACCATTTTCAGGTAGAAAATTCTTGAGCATTTAACTTGCATTGTCTTAACGTTATCTCATTGAATTCTCACAACAGCCTTATGGAGAAAGTACTGTAATATTATTCCCATTTTACAAATGAGAAAACCAGGCACAGAGAGGTTAAATCATTTACCCAGCATCATACAGCCAACATATAGCAGAGCTGGGATTTGAACCCCAGGTAGTCTGATTCCAGAGTCATTTTCCTAAAACGGCCCCAAAAAGAGCTATTATGACGTTGATGTAATTCTTACCTCAAAGAGTTGTTTGAGAATTTAAATACTTAGCAATGTATCTTCCATGTAATAAGCAATTAATGTAATGATCATTTATATTTCAAAACATTCTTTCCTAAATGCTGGGGTGGATTGGGCTGTTGCAAAGATATCCCCTTCCTGTCTCTCTCCAACTTTTCCTGGCTTTAGCATCTGTGCAGCCTGCCGCTTTGTATCTTAAACAGCATAGATAAGGAAGGAGGTGGGGGTAGGGCATGGGGACTGTGGTATGTGGCTCTGTTGGAGTTCAATTCGGCAGATACTCCCTAAGCATCCACTCTGGGCTAGAGCCTGTCCTGATGGCAGTGGGGATGCCAAGATGAAATAGATTGTGGTCCCTGCTGTCCAGGAATTCACAGTCAGTCTGGGAGGAGAGATGACACCGAAACAGATTATTTTAATACAGTCTCCTCAGATGGATCTTAGCCAGCACATCAGACCCCACTGCCCACAGCTCATTCACAACTAGCAGGGCAAGAATGCCTTACCATTATATTGATTGTTAAAATAATAATCCTGTTAATATCTTTGACATCATTAAAGTCACTGTTATTAATGTAGAAAGTAGTAATATCTTAGAGAAGGTCAGCAGCTACTCGAAAGAGACTTTTAACATGCTCAATTGGAAAAACCTATTTTATTTTTATGGGTAGGAGTGTTCCAAAACTGCGGGTAGGGCTAAGGGTGTCCTTGGCTTGGGGACTATACTGTGGGGAAGGATTTATGTCCACCCAGCCTCCCTCCTGGCCACCCGATGTGCTCCATAGTTATCACGTACTTTATAGCTTCTTGTTCCCAGGCACATTTTTTTATTTGGTAGAATGAGCAAGAACGGGGGAGGTAGCTTTCTGAGGCAAGACATCTGTCAGGAGAGGCAGTGACTGAGTGCTGAGATTGGCAGGGGCTATTGCCAGGGCAGCTAGGGCTTTGTGGAGTGTATGTCTTATTGCATATATTACCTCCAATTAATGGATCCATGGACACCATCAGTGCTTCCACCACATGCCTAGCAGTGTGCCCCAAAATCTCTGTGCTGCTTGAGGAGAAAAGACTAACACATGAGACAAAAAGGGTTTGGCACAAGATGGGATGCTTTGCTCAGGGGTTGGATTGGTGGTTCAGATGCTCAAAAGCTATAGGGACTTACGAGTGCCTCCTTATTGAGCACTGGGCTGCATACGACATCAGAATGGGTGATGGGCGTCTCTTAGTGTCCACAAAGCCCTTTCTGATCTGATCTCAGCTAGGCGCTCTAGTATCATCGGCATCATTTCTTCTTACATCCTGGACCCTGGGCAAACCAGAGTACATCATATTATTCACTAAATGTGGGATCTCTGTCAAACTTCTGTAACTTTCCTTATGCTGTTTCCTCTTAATTGTACTCTCTTCCTGTGTGGGGGTTAACTTCAACTCATCCTTCAGGACAAGATTGGAACTTATTGATGACTCTTCTTGTCTGAGTCTTCTCCCTTTCTTTCTGTCCCTTAGGTAATTGACATGCCTCCAAGTTCCTAGTTGCTCCTGTCATAGACCTCATCAAGATGAAACATAGGTTCTGGTTTTCTTGAGGTCTCCACCACTGACTGGACTATAAATTCTTCTGGGGGAAGATTGTACTTTATTAGCCTCTGTACTTTTATACAGTGTCTGGCAGTAATAGGTGGACAATAAATGATTTTTTGATAAATGAGTAAATCTTTTTAGCATGTTACTCCTCTACCTAGGAACCCACAGTAACTTCATGGCACTCAAAACTTTGTAGACTCAAAAACTAGTAAACATAGTAGACTATATGTCTTCACATGTACATAAAAACAATAATGAGGATTTGATTTTCCCTACTAATTTAACTCTACTCTCCGTACCCACCACCTGCCCAATATGGCGACACATGATGCTGCGAGGTTGCCATGAAAGTGACATTCATTGGAGATAACAGTGTAAATTGGTATAACTCTTTTGGAAAGCAGTTAAGCAGTGTCTTGCCAGCGCCAATAAAATGTTCATATATTGCACCAGTAATTCCACTTCTGGGAGTCTGTCCTAAGGAAATAGTCTAGTTTATACAATAAGCTTTCCCTCAGATGCTGTTGTTTTTAATAGTGAGAAATTGGAAAAAGCCTAAAAGACCACCAGTCTAAACTATGATAAATCTACTCAGGGAAAACTACAAGCTTTTAAAGCAGTAGTGCAAAAAATGATGCTTACTGAAAACTGTGCGGCAGTAAGGACAAATATGTTATATAATATATATAATAAATGTATTATAATGCTAATTGAAAAAATTAGGCTACAGAGTTGAATGAGGGATCTAACCATGTAATCCAAACATAATGTGCAAGAAAAACACTGGAAGGAAATACACTAACATGCTAACAGTTATGTCCCATAAAGGGTTGGGCGTTTAACAGATGATTTCATATGGTAATTTCAAATAATAAACTTACTAAATATAATAGCACAAATTCTTACCCAAATTATTGGTTAAGAATTTTGAAATAATAAACCACCCAGGTGTAGTGGCTCACGCCTGTAATCCCAGCACTTTGGGAGGCCAAGGTGGGCGGATCACGAGGTCAGGAGATGGAGACCATCCTGGCTAACATGGTGAAACCCCGTCTCTACTGAAAATACAAAAAATTAGCTGGACGTGGTGGCGGGCGTCTGTAGTCCCAGCCTCTGATCTTAATTTCGGTTTTAAACAAAGAAGTGATAGGGTAATATATTACTCTGGTGACAGTAGAGGATTATTTAAAGAATGTTAATAAGAATGAAGAGAAGGGGGCTACATTCTAAAAATACTGAGGCCAGATATGCAGGGCGTGGTGAATAACTCAGTATGTGGGGGAAACATATATGCCTAATAGAGAACATTGGCTCAAGGAGTTTAATGAGATGTCCAAGGTCACACAGATAGTAAGTGGCTGATCCTGAATTAAAACCCTGTTCTGTCTGTCCAAAGCCATGCCCTTTCTCCTGCAGCTGAGACACCTATCATAGTTTTGGAGAAACTTTTTTTTTTCTTTTAACCAGTTGTAGTGTAGAAGCTTGTTTAGCGTAGCGCCTCCTTTTTGAGGGGAAGGGGGCCAGGAAGGGTTAATTCTTTCTAAGACAATGACAAGGGGGAAAGACCATAGATACCAAAGCTGCTTCTATCATGATCAGTTGAACTGATTAGAAGTTCAGTAGGCATTGGGTGTGTCATACCTGTCGTTTTGAGGGCTGTTTTTTGTGAAGTTGCAGTGGTTCATTGGTTGGCTTTTGTTTGTTGCTTAGCTTATGGTAGCAGGGCCTCTTGGACGTAAGCATGCATATGTATACCGTATTACATGCTAATGAACATTTTGTTCATTGCACCAAGTTTATTGATGCTGCTGCTGCTGTGGGAGTGAGAGAGGGGTCAGGATGGCAGCTTCAAACAAGGGACAATGTCTAAGCTGCTCTCTGGAAGGAAGGGTTCACCTGACCATACAATACCCTATCCCCATACTTACCTCTCCGTGACTAATCCAAGAAAAGTTGATTTTGAACTTGAGTCTATCCTTTGAAGTATGATACTTATCCCTTCGGAAGAACCTATTTCATATTGACGTGTTCACTCTCTGACCTTGGGCAAGGTCTCTGTGCTAGGGTTTACTCTCTGCACTAGGGTTTGCCTAGTAGAGAACATTGGTTCAAGGAGTTTAATGAGATGTCCAAGATCACACAGCTAGTAAGTGACTGATCCTGAATTTAAACCCACTAGAGTTTACTCATTTATAAAGTGAATGACACATGACTACTCAGAGGATTGTTGTGTATAGATTCAGTAGCCTTAACTCATGAAGAGGCTTGTAAGCTACGTTAAAGGATTTGAACTTGGTTCTTTATGGTGGGAAGCCCCTGAAGGATTTTAAACAGGAGGCGGCAGGGGCACACTTGATTGATCACACAGGAGGCAGATCCTTAGTAATGTTTGTGGAGTTAGTGTTGTTACCAGGGAGACAAAGGCAGAGTGGCTGCGACTGTGGCATCATTCTCAGTGGTCCCCTTTAGACCAAACATGTGGCACTGTGGGAGATGATACTTAGAGCCCTAAGTTATGTTTGGATCAGCACCCTGGAGAGAGGTCACCCCTTCCTTCCTTCCCCTGCCTGAATGTGGGAAATTTAAAATATATGTCGATGCATATGCTGTCTTGTAGGGTCAAGCCTTTGGGGCTATGAGGGGTGCCACTTAGTGTGTTCAAGAAGGATTGTTGTAATGAGGAAAATACTGATTCCGCATGAAAGGATTTTAATCAACTGCCCTGATACCTGAGGGACACAGTACTTGGCTGGAGTGTTGAGTTTTGCACCATCCAGCCCTTGCTTCCAGCCTATTGGCTTCCTGCCTGGGTGCCTCTGTCTAGGAAGACGTGCAGCAGCTATCCATCCTGGGAATATTCCTGTCCATGCTTATGTAGCACATCTCAGGGAACAGAACATGTTATCTCCTTTGACCCTCACAACAACCTGTGTTACAGGGATTTTTATCCCCATTTTACAGGTGGGGAACTGTGAACCTCAGAGAAGTCAAGTGCCTTTTCAGGGTCATACAGCTAGTAGAGACGGCATTCAGGTCCCAGCGCTCCACAGGCAAGGAGAAATCCAAAGCTAATAAGCCCCCATTACTATTTTAACTTAGAGCTGTGCTTGTTGTGGGAGGAGTTAAGCCTTCCTCTCATACAGGTTGGGAAATGAGAACAGGATGCGCTACCACAGCACAGCCTTCTGCACCCTGACTCAGAATACAGCAGCCACAGAATGTAGAAGTTCCATCAGAGACACAGAATAGTGAGCAACTGGGGGCTTCTTGCAGTATCAGTCCCTGGGGCCCTGTTGCCCAGCAGGGGAGCCTAATCTGCTCTATAGGGTCCTCAAAGCACAAGGAGGCCTTGGTGGGAACCTTTGCTTAGGGTCCTCTTCCTACCTAATTTCTCAAGTTGTATTCCTTATGAGCTCTGGCAGCTGCAGTGTTCCAGATGCTCATTTATTTATTCATTCATTCAGCACTTAATAAGTACCTACTCCTGTCTTTCCTTTTATGTTCAAGGCACGTTTCCAAATCCTAGAGTTTTGGTGATACACTTGAAGAGACTTTATTGCATCCACAGTCATAGTATTTTTTTCCTTGATCACAGTTCAGCTCTAGGTTAATGTTCCATTAGAACTGACCACCTTCTTTTTATACTAACATGGAAAAGTTCTTGCAGGTTCCAACAACAACAATAATAATTGAGATTGAGCATCCCTAAGTTGAAAATCCAAAGTTCTCCAAAATCGGAAACTTTCTGAGTGCCAACATCACATTCAAAGGAAATGCTCATTGGAGCATTTCAGATTAGGGATGCTCACTCAGCTAGTTAAGTATCTGCAGATATTCCAGAATCCATAATCTGAAACACTTCTTGTCCCAAGCATTTGGATAAGGAATACTCAACCTGTAGCAGCAGGAGCTAATATATTTGCATGCTTTCTGTTGTGCTGGACACTATTCTGAATGTTTACATGAATTATTTTATCCTCTAACAACCCTAGAGATATGTATTGCTGTCTGCATCTTACAGGTGAGACAGACACTTCCCGAAGGTCATGTCGTAGCCAGTTCAGTAACAGAATGAAGGTGTTTGGTTTCAGTTCTCTCCTGATGACATTCCATGTCCTCTCACACAGGAGTAAAGATTCAGGCTTTGGCTCCTGCTTGATGGCAAGCCATGTATTTAACTCCTACACACAGCAAGCTTTACTTCTTTCTACACTGTGTCGTATGACCCACTCAGCTCTGAGTTATGCTGAAAGATAACACTACATAAGCTCAAAGCAAAAAGCAGTTTTGTACACTGATGAAAATTTGACCGCACATGTGGAAGATTGAAGGTGCACTATTGTGCCTTTGAACAGTGGTGAAGACCTACTCAATTTCCCCTGTCATAGTCTTAGGTAAGTACAGTAGCATTCAGGAATGAATCTGGTTTCCATCCCTCTCAACTCCCTAGATGGCGAGAGAAGACTGGTTTGTAAACTGCCATGATACAAGACAGAAAATGAGAAAACCTTTTATTCCTTTCACTCTCCTGGCTAGTTTCCTTGTGTTCTTCAAAGTATGGAGAGAGGGTCTGGAATACCAGACTCTTCAGAAATATATACTCAGGCTCCAGGAGAGTAGTTCCAGTCCTCCATTAAGCCTAGATCATCTTCCCTTGCAGGATGTAGCATGATGTAGAGCAGAGACCAAGATAAATCACCACTCAAAGTTCTAGGTGGCAGGTCCTTAGTCTCCCTATCCCCTTCTCTCAAGAGAGAGAGACAAGAAAAGGAAAAAAATTGGATAGTTTTTGTAAATTAGTCTGACACTGATATCTAAAAACAGTCAGGCTCAAGGACTTGGAAAGAAATGAAGTAAACTTCATGCTTTCTTTGCTTTGGTTTCATAGAAGTTCACAGTTGGGCAAGAGTGGCTTAGAGCTATGTTACTCAAAGTGAAGTTTAAAAAGCAAAACAAAAGAAAAAACTGCTTCACCACAAATAGTTTTGAGAAGTACTGACTTATTTAGTTAGTGTGACAATATGAAAAATAACCTCAGTCTTTTGATTATAAAATGAGATTAATAATACTTGCCTCAAAGTGCTGCTTTGGGGATTATTTGATGGTAAATAATGTTTTGAGTACTTAATATTTGCCTACTGCTGTGCACTGTACGTGTATTATTTAATCTTCTCCACAATTCTGTAGTAAATTTTCTGAAACTTTGGATAGGTTATAGGATTTGCCAGAGATCAAAGGTGTGGTAAGTAAGCAAGTAGGTAGGATTTGAATGGGAGTTACGTGGCATGTTCTGTGTAAGGAGCCTGTTCCCCATGTGGGCTCCCTTGTCACTGTACTTCCTCTGTATCACTAGTGGTAGAGATCTGCTTTCTTTTTTTTTTTTTATCACTGACCCTAACTTACTTTGTTACCTTGGGCAAGTCCCTTTCTCTGAGCCTTAATTTTTCTTATTTACCCTCAAGGGTATGCCACATGACCTAGGTTTTTTTTGTTCCCTAGATCAGGTGGCATATCCTAGGAACCAGGGACTTTATTCATCTCTGGTTCCACAGCATCTGGCTAGATAGGCCTGGCATATAATGAGTATTCAGTACTGAGGCCATTGGTTACTCTAGAGGATCTGTAAGGTTCCTTTTACTCACTACTTTCTCTGAACATCCTACATACTTTATCCTCTGCCTTCCCCACCCTTCCTCAACATCATGTTTCCTGCCTAGTTCATAGGACAGCATGACCTTATTTCCTTATGTCTGCCTGTCGTAAGCAGTCTTGATCCTGCTGTACTTTCAGACAGCCCACATGGTACCTATGTTTTTATTGTCTGTGAAATGTGTCTAGGATAAACTACCAGGGATATTAAGTTAAGGGGTAGAAGGGGCCTGCTCACAAAATCAGAAGAACACTCTTATTCCATTCCTACCTAGTTGGGCCTGCGCCTACGGCAGCCCTGCCAGGCCTGAGTAATGGCCATAGCTTGGAGCAGGGTTTTCCTTGAGCTCCATCGGGATTTCCAGTAATTGGAACATGGCACCTTCCAACTTGTAATGGATGGCAAAACAAGAGGGGCATTTGTCACTGCCTGACTTCCCTGTGGGAAAGAGGCTCATAAGTCACAGCTGACAAACCCTTTGATGACTTTTAAACTTCATTTACAGAAAAGAATAGCTATAATCAACCAACAGCAAGCAGTGACTAATCTTGCCACATTATCACTGTGAGGAGCCAACCCTTAAGGCATAGGAAGGGGGCGGGGGCCATCCCCAAAGCTCACAGCAAGTGCTGATTGGCTCTTGGACTTGAGAGTATGCCTTCAGCTAGGTCCTGTGAGTTTATGCTCCAAGGATCGGTGTTAGGAGGTAGAGGAAGAAACTGACAAGGCAGATACAGGGCATGCCCAGTTTTGAAGCCGTTCTGGGCCAAGATTATGAGATCAGCTCTGGTTTCGCACATATTCATCCTACCTCTGCCATTTCCTGGCTTGAGTGAGACCAAACACCAAGCCTTAGTTTCCTCATATGTGAAATGGTCACAACATATATCATCACTATCGCATAGCAAAAGCCTTAGTGCAGTTCCTGGCATGTAAGTACTCCACAAGTATTGATGATCATTATCATCATCATCATGTTTGGGCCTGGAGTACCTTTTGTGGTCACATGGTTTAAAACCTAGGTTATATGGCATGTCAGCAAAGCCAGGACCATTCTTCCTGTGGATGGGGGCTCAGTGGGAGCAATCTAATGGAACGGGAATAACACAGGCTTTAGAATCAGACAAGCCTTTGGGTCTTTCCATCCAAAGCATGCAACTTAATGTGACTGTAGACAAATTAAGTTGTTTCTGAGTCTCAGTTGTATCTGTAGAGTGCAGATGATACTACATATCTCAATAGATTGTCATCAGGATTACAAGCGATTATGCCTGTAAAGCTTTCAACTCAGTACCTGGTACAAAGTTCTACATATTAAATTGTGTGTTCCCTTTTTGTTCTCCCTCAAGGCAAGAATAAGTATGCATCTCTCCAGGGAAGCAGGAGACAACAGTGAAGACATTCTTGTATTTCAAACTTCTATTTCCAGCTCTATGTACGGGAGGAAGAGGAGAATAAGGGGATCAAAGAGGAGAAAGGGATACCTTTTGTATATTGTTCCTTCCTCCTGCCAGGCCTCTCCCGCTGTCACTACTCAATGGGAATTCCTCTTAAACACTCTCCCTTTTGGTAGAGCCTTCCATGCTGCTCCTACCCCTTCTCTGATCTCCCAGACTACTTTGCTTGGACAGTAGACCATCTCAGGGCATGTGTACCTTGTGGCCATGATAGATGTCCCCTGCTGGACAGGGAGTTGCTTGAGGTCGCAGACCCAACTGCTGAATAAATAAATAAATGATTGATTTGTTAGTTATTTGATAATACCCAGTCCATAGTTAGCTCCATATTTGGATATTTATAATTATGATCAGACGGACAAGTAGGTGTTTGGATGACTTCTATGGCAAAAAATAAAGAGGCTGACAATCATTTTTAGGTCCTTAATTCTAACCCAGTATCAGGGATTATAGGCATAAGTTACCTACCCATCTCTCCTTAACTTGTCCGGTTCCTGGAACTAGGAAGGGGAGCTTGATACAGATGGTAAGCCTCAGCCTAAGGCCCCAGACAAGAGTAGAGTTAGTGTTCAGGATGCAGGAGGGTGGGATTATATACCCAGACCATGCTATGGGGAGGTAACTGAGGCCTGCCTTCTGTTTCTGCTTTGGAGTATCCTCTCAGGGCCTATCAGATACGGATACCAACGTCAATAGTATAGGACCTCACAGTACAGTTGAGGGGTGAGAATGACTCAGCAAGGCTGGAACCCCTCCTGGCCAGTGTTCCCTCCTCTCCCAGCCCCATACAGTAGTGGTTTGACAGGAATGGGGTGGGGACACCTTTATGAAGTTTCTAGGTTTGGTTGCAGATACTAGGACAAGGGAGAACATGCATAGGCTCCCTACTCCCTACCCCCAGCTCCCTTACTGTCAGGCAAAGTGTGGTGCACAGGGAGATGACATAGTAAAGAACATGTCATCTTAGGGCTAGGATGTGGAGGAGCTAGAGTGCCAGGCTAGGTTCATCTGTTTTCATAGAGCATTTGGGTTATCCAGTTTCTTAATACCTACTAGTCCTACCCATTATACCAGCACTTTACTCATATTTTCTCCAGTTCTTATCCTAATTCTGGGAGGTGGGTATAATTTCCATTTTGCAGTTGAGGACTCTCAGGCCCAGCAAGGTGAAAGGATATGGCCACAGTTACAGTTTTGAGTGATAGATCTCGGATTGGAGCTCAGCCCTGTCTGACTCTAGAACCTGAGCTATTTTTGCTATTTCATATGCATTTGTCCTTCGTTACTACGATACCGTTTTAAAAAACAGGTTCCCAGAGAGAGGGCTTCTTGAAAAGCAAGTAGAGCAGAAGACTGGTGAGCGCTGTGTTTCCCAGCGTTTCCACAGTGCCAGCACAGAGGAGGACACTCAGGAAATGTTTGTTAAATGAGTGAAGGAGATAGGAACTGGGTAATAATAGAAATTGGCATAATCTGTATCCTTTGATAGTATATTACAGATGCAACAGAGCACTTTCACATCAGTTAGCCTAGTTGATTCTTGGACCTGAAAGGTAATCAGGGAAGAGATTATTTCTGTTTTTGGATTAAAGACGAGAAGGCCTAGAGAAGTTACGTGACTTGTTGCAGGTCACATGACTAAGAACAGTAGAGCCAAGGCCAAGCCTTCTGGACCTGTAACCTGCAGTGCTTATACTTCACCCATCCAGGAGCTTTTGCTGTTTGACATGCAGGGAGCTGACTCTTGAGAGTGGTCGGGAACTAAAGAGCATTCCTTGGGAAATTAGTCCTGTCTGGCCAGTAATAATCATTTGGGCACTGCTAATGAGCCAGGACTTGGCCAGTTTAATGAGATTAATAGATGTTCTGTCATCCCTGGCCGCCTGGTAAAAGCAGAAGCCTCCAGACCAAGGAGGCCCTGGACACTGATGAGTCTAATTGCTTGACTTTCTCCAGAAATAGTCTTCGATCACTAGTAGCTATTTTCCTTCTGAACCACCCGGATGTCCCCAGGGTTATCTACGGGCAGAGAGCTGGCCACAGGCTGCTGTTCCCCTCATCGCTGTGCAGGAGAATAAGGCCAGAGGTGCCCAGCAGGACTGAACCAAGACAGAGACTATAAATAGCGCTGGGGACATCAAGACCTAAAGCAGCAGCTCCTCCCTTGAAATGAGCATTTCAAGAGGAAGAGATTCAGTGCTGGGGAGGATTTACAGAGTTCTCTGAGTGCCTGAGACTAGACTTGATCTGATAGGCATTATTAGGAGCACATGAGGGGTGACATGGCAGAGTTAAGAGTGTTAAGACAGCCATTGAGACAGTGGAATGGAGAGTGTCGAGTAAGAAGCCTTGATTCAGGACCCCTAGCTGCACTCCCCTCACCAGCTGGTTGACCTTAAGTAAGTCACTTATCTTTGCTGATCCTTTTTTTTTTTTTCATTTATACAGTGGGACGGGATGGGTGCAGTGGCTCGTGCCTGAAATCCCAGCACTTTGGGAGGCCAAGGCGGATGGATCAGGAGTTCGAGACCAGCCTGACTAGCATGGTGAAACGCCATCTCTACTAAAAATACAAAAATTAGCTGGCTGTAGTGGCGGGCACTGTAGTGGCAACTACTCAGGAGGCTGAGGCAGAGAATTGCTTGAACCCGGGAGGCAGAGGTTGCAGTGAACCAAGATCATACCATTGTACTCTAGCCTGGGCTACAGATGTCTGGTGAGAGCCCTCTTACAGGTTCATGGACAACCATCTTTTCACTGTGTTCGCACATGGTGGAAGATGCAGAGTAGCTCTCTGGGCCTCTTATTTATTTATTTTTTTTGAGACGGAGTCTCGCTCTGCCGCCCAGGCTGGAGTGCAGTGGCCGGATCTCAGCTCGCTGCAAGCTCCGCCTCCCGGGTTCACACCATTCTCCTGCCTCAGCCTCCCGAGTAGCTGGGACTACAGGCGCCCGCCACCGCGCCCGGCTAGTTTTTTGTATTTTTTAGTAGAGACGGGGTTTCCCCATGTTAGCCAGGATGGTCTCGATCTCCTGACCTCGTGATCCGCCCATCTCGGCCTCCCAAAGTGCTGGGATTACAGGCTTGAGCCACCGCGCCCGGCCCTCTTATTTATTTTGTAGAGATGGGGTCTTGTGATGTAGCCTAGGCTGGTCTCCAACTTCTGGCCTCAAAGGATCCTCCCACCTTGGCTTTCCAAAGTGCTGGGATTACTGGCTTGAGCCACTTCCTGGCCTGGGGCTCTTTTTCTTTAAAGGCATTAAACTCATTCTTGAGGGCTTTCCCTTCCCTTTGGGACCTAATCACTCCCAAAGCCCCACTTCCTAATACCGTCACGTTAGGGATTAGGTTTCAACACAGATTTGGTGGAGGAGGCACACTCATACTACAAGAGATATAAACTGGATTTGTTCACTAAAATTTTGTGCAACCATGAGGAATTGTAGTAGAAAAGGGAAAGGGCAAGGACCAAGGAGAGCGTGAGTGGCTGACACAAGGTAACATAATCTTGCTGGGGAAGTCAGAACCCAAGGCATCCCTGTGCCATGTGCAAGATACCTGCAGATACCTATTTCTGAGGTTCTGATTCCAGTTCCGGCTTTGCTCTGTTAACCAATTACCTTGCTTCTCTGAACCTGTCTCAGTTTCCCTATGTCAAACAGCTCCTCACAGGGCTGTTGTGAGGATTAAATACTGTAATACCATGCAGCATTCAGTAATTAGTGGCTTTTTTTTTTTTTTTTTTTTTACGGGAAGTCTCGCTCTGTCGCCTAGGCTGGAGTGCAGTGGCGTGATCAAACAGTTCTCCTGCCTCAGCCTCCCAAGTAGCTGGGATTACAGACGTACACCACCATGCCTGGCTTTTTTTTTTTTTCTTTCTTTCTTTTAAGTAGAGACGGGGTTTCGCCATGTTAGATAGGCTGGTCCTGAGCTCCTGACCTCAAGTGATCCACCCGCCTTGGCCTCCCAAAGTGCTGGGATTATGGGTGTGAGCCACTGTGCCAAGCCAGTGGCTGTTTTTACTGTGACGGCTCTTTGGGTATCTCATTTACCCAAAGTTCAGAGGTAACTTTTAGGACTTTTCTACCTTTGCAAACCCCTGTCACTTTTCTCCATGTTCAGGCTTGGCTCTCCTGTGTTCAAAAACAATTTCCAGCTGAAATATTTCAACTGGAAAAAAATGAATTTGTTTTTGCCATGTTTCTTCTGCTCTTAACTAGCCTGGAGGAGCAGGCCCGTCCCTTTGAGCTGTAAATTGCATTTCAAAGCCTGTGTCCCTAGTGGATTTTAATTAACTTAAAAGGCCCAGCTTTTACGCAGCAATTGTTTCTCCTGCAGGTATAGGTGAAGGCACTTATTGGGGAGCCAGTCCCCAGTTTTCTCAAACATGGTGTTTTTGTTTTGTTTTGTTTTGAGACACTGTGGTCTCTCCCAGCTCCTCACTGTCTTGGGGCCTGTCTCTCACCAGCCCAGAATGAAAAATGGAATATAAGGACCCTAGACTTAGCGTCAGAGGACCCATGGGTTAGTCTTGGCTCTGCTACTCACTAGCCGTGGCGTCCTGGCCAAGTTTTTACTGTGGGTAAAACTTCGTTCCTCCGAGTGAGAGCATTTATAAGCTCCATGTGCACACAGGTCTCTGCTCATCTGACATTGCAGAAGTCTCTAGGAACAAATTTGCTTCTCTCCCTTCCTCCAACCACCAAGAACAGTCCTACCCACCTCTCTTCAGCTCATTGCTAAACCTAGGACCCCTGGGGGCTGCAGACACCTTGCTCTCAATTACACAGCTAATCTGAGAGGCAGAGCTTGGCCCAGGGCAGGAAATAGCTTACCAAGTCAAGTAGCTCCTGCTGAATGGATGTCGATATTTTCTAGAGCTGCCACTCTAAGCTAGGGGGAAGCCTTGAAAAGCATAGCAAGAATTGGGTGGGAGGGATTGTAACCACTTAAGGCAGTCCACAGCTAGACCTTCTCACCACCTCCTGGGACATATGTCCACTCCCTCCCTAATATTGATTGAACACTTACTGTGCCTCAAGTTTTGTCAGGCCTGCCCTGTAACATTTGCAGGGCAGAGTAATAAGAGTACAAATAGAGATCCATGTACCATATGTTTAAACATTTGAAGGTTCTAAGTGAAGCTAATAAATTGTGATGTCCCTAACAACTTGGAATACCATGTCTAAATTTAGAATTCTTGGACTCGTTAGGATTCTGTACCTGAACCTGGCAGTTCAGGGAGACCTAGTCTGGCCCCACCTCCTTTTCATTCCCTTTCCCAATTCTATTCCTCATTTAGAGGAGCCTCATCAACATGTGTGTGGTCACTCAAGCCTTTCCACACCCCCATAGATACCTGTCTCTTTGGGCTGAGGGAGTCCACACAACAGTAGCACATCCTGCGCATCCTGCTTCCAGAGGAGTGTGCAAGGCATGAAAGTGGATAGGGGGCTGTTGAGATGAGGAGCTCAGAGGTTGGGTGCCTGGAGCATGCCATAGGTGAGCATTTCTCCTTTTAACTGCAGACTTCTCACCCAGAGCAGCACTTGCAACCACATACATACACTTCCCAAGTCTCTCCTCTACAGATCAGAAAACTGATGTTCATATGCCATGGCTTCTGGCTGCCCCTCCTTGGCATTATACAGAATGAGTTCCACTCTGACCTTTACCCTCATCTAGAATGGGGCTTGCAGATGGCAGTATTGGAATAAAGAGGTGCAAGCCAGTGTAATTACAAGATCTTGTGAAGGACTTTAGGGTTTGCAAAGTCCTTTTATGTGCATCATTCCAAACCCCAGGGAATGAGAGAAAAGACTGGCAGAGCCAAACCTTAAAAACTTGGCTCGCCAGTCAGGGAGGTGAGTACTGATCTTGTTACAATACCATGAACAGCTGTTCAGCAAATGCTTCCTGCTCAGTGATGCTTGTGGCTCCCAGTAGAGGTCACTCTGTCTCCATCCACACTCCAGGCTTGGTTGACTCCCTCTAGGCAAAGCAGGTGGCTTCTCCCTGGGCCAAAACTGTAGCCCTTTGAGCTGAACTACCTAGGAGAGAATCATCTGATGCCCATACAGGGGCCCTATTAACTTCTTGTATACCCATGGATAGACAAAGAATTAACCCTTGAATGGCTTGGCATCCATGTAGGAGAGGGATTGTCAGCGAGAACTGTGAGGAATGGCAAGCCCATGGGAACAACAAGCATTGAGCATTTCCTGCCTCGTATGCTATGCACAGTGTGTTATTCTTTGTGTCCCTCACTGCCTAATAAGTGTAGATGAGTAGAACCACAGGTAAACTAACCAGAGTCTGTCTCTTTCCAAGTCAGTTCCAAAGCTGGAACCAGCCCCTTCATCAGTAGCAGTGATGGGACCCTCTCAGCCCCTTTTCTTTATCTGAGATAATGCACTCCTGACTCCAGTATATCCATTAGGTAAGCCTAACCCCAGGAGCAGTTTCTTCCCAAGTTGGGCTCAGGTCCAGCCTATGATTTCCTTGTAAACAGTACCACCTGCTGGTCAGAACATGCCAGCTTCCAGGCAGGGAGGATTTAGGAGAAAAGTCTCTTATCCCCTAGTGGGATAAGAGATACAGATTTATTTTTTCGAGTTCACTGAAAAGAAAATCCCCCAACATATTAGGTAAGTAGGCTGGCAGACTGATGAAAGTTTTTATATATGCTCTTTGGAGTCTTCTATCACCTGAAATGGTCCTAAGGTTAGGTTATTGAGATAGGAGGGTTCCAAAAGGGAGCGGCATCAACCTACACCCATGAGCAGAAGACTGGGCCGGGAACCGCGAATGCCAAGGCTTAACGTAGGCTTTTCCTACTGAAACTGAGCTTCTCTCCTTTTCCCTTTCCCCGTGGTGCCTATGCCTAGCCATAAACTGTGAGGGAAAAATTTGTACAGCCCTTTGGGGTAAAAGACCTGACCAGAATATAGAGAGCAAAGGGTAGGTGCAGTGTTATGTCTAAGCCAAACAGAAAAATATTTGAATGAGTTAGTATTAATATGGGTAACTAAAAAATAAATTTATTAAAAGTAATTCTCAGGTGAATGTGCTGACTTTCTGTGGTATCTGAATTGGCTTTAGCTCTGGGAAGCAAAATGATAAAGTTGAAAGAATAGACTTTAGGGACGGACTGACCTGAGTTTGAATGCTCCTTACTAGTAAGTTAATGAACTTGTCAATTAATTTCTGGTAAAATATGAGTAATCACGACATTCACTTGTGGGATCTTGGGATTATTCAGTATTGTATGCCACCCTTAGCCCACAGTGAGTACTTGGCGAGGCTTTGTATTAGTCCATTCTTGCACTGTTATAAAGAAATACCTGAGATTGGGTAATTTAAAATGAAAAGTTTAATTGGCTCACAGTTCTGCAGGCTGTACAGGCCTCTGCTTCTCAGGAGGCCTCAGGAAATTTACAATTGTAGTGGAAGGAGAAGGGGAAGTAGACACGTCTTCATATGGCCAGGGCAGGAGGAAAAGAGACAGTGGGAGGTACTACACTCTTCTAAATAACCAGATCTTACAAGCACTCACTCACTATCACGAGAGGAGCACCGAGGGGGAAATCCATGATTTCAGTCACCATGATCCAGTCACCTCCCACCAGGCCCCACCTCCAACACTGGGGATTACAATTAGACACGAGATTTGGGCACGGACACAAATTCAAACCACATCAGGCTTTTCAAAATGGCTGGTAGCAATCCAGACAGTTCTGTGTCTGGATCAGACTAAGCAGTTTTGTTTTCTTTTGTTTTACTTTTTGAGACAGAGTCTCGCTCTGTCACCCAGGCTGGAGTGCAGTGGCACAATCTCAGCTCACTGCAACATCTGCCTCCCGGGTTCAAGCGATTTTCCTGCCTCAGCCTCCCAAGTGGCTGGGATTATAGGTGCCCGCCACCACGCCTGGCTAATTTTTTGTGTTTTTAGTAGAGACAGGGTTTCACCATGTTTGCCAGGCTGGTTTCAAACTCCTGATGCACCTGTCAGGTGATGCACCTGTCTGGGCCTCCAGAGTGCTGGGATTACAGGTGTGAGCCACCACGCCCGGACCCTGCAGTTTTTATCATGTGGTGGTCTAGAGTAAACATCACTTGCAAATACCATGTGACCATGGTTCTGCATTGAAGATCTTCAAATTTAGATCTTGAATAACATTTGAGATGAGCATTAAAGAAGTAGACTTAGAAGAATTAGAGTCAAGCAGATGAGGGTGTCAGATCCCAGCCCTGCCATTCACTAGCATCGTGGCCTCTCTGAATGTGAGATTTCTCCTTTGTAAAATGTTGTGGTTCTGCATATCATGTGAGTACCAAATGAGGGGATATATGTAAAGCACCTGGCATGAGGTCAGCAGCCAGTATGTGGCAACTCTTGGTAACATGACAAGAAAACAAGATGCAGAAACAGGTAAGCTGGATGCTATAAGGGTTAAGGAAGGTAAGAGGCAATTCATTTATCCAGGATATGGGCTGTGGGCAGTCCTTGAGCCCAGCCCAGGGACCCAACTTCACAGAGGCTCTCTCTCTTCAGGTAGGCACCATGTCCTTGAAGATGCAGGCAAGCAACGTAACCAACAAGAATGACCCCAAGTCTATCAACTCTCGAGTGTTCATTGGAAACCTCAACACAGCTCTGGTGAAGAAGTCAGATGTGGAGACCATCTTCTCTAAGTATGGCCGTGTGGCCGGCTGTTCTGTGCACAAGGGCTATGCCTTTGTTCAGTACTCCAACGAGCGCCATGCCCGGGCAGCTGTGCTGGGAGAGAATGGGCGGGTGCTGGCCGGGCAGACCCTGGGTAAGCCTCTCTCCACTATATTCTCCTAGTATTCTCTAGAGTAGCTGCTATCACTCTCCAGTTCTCAACCCCCTTCTCTGTTTCTCTCACCACTACCACTCCTCTGAGATTTTATAAATTTATAAGGTATGGTTAAGTAGTTATGAAATTAATCCCTATAGGGAAGAATTTTAGAAGCCTCTGGGAAACACTTCTGACCTATCTCTGCTTTCTCAGAGCTTGTTAGTGACACGCTTTACAGTTCCAGTTAAAATGCAGATTCTCCAGAGAAAGAGACCAGAATGGCCTAGAACAGCCTGTTACACCGGGTACAGATCCCTTAGGTTAGAACCCTTTCTGAGAGCGAGCAGGAGGGTCTGGGAGCGCAAGGACAATGCGAATACGCTTGGCTTTGGTGTCACGTCCATGTGATATGACTATGCTAGTGGTCTCGAAGTATGTACAGTGTTCATGTTTGTGCATTTACTCCTGTGTATATGTGTATGTTTGAAAAGGGGTATCTATATGTGTTTTTTTCCTGAACAAGAAGTGTATGGATTGACTGAACATGTGGAGATATGTGGACGCATACCTTTGTATGTATAGGTGTAGTGTGTGTGTGAGAGAGAATGTATTTGAATGTGTTAGCAGATATGCATATATTTACCAGGTATTTATTGAGACCTTTGCATGTCGTAAGCATTATTCCAGGCATGAAGGTGTTTGGTAGAACATCCATGTGAATGTGCATTGGCTCATTTGCATGTGGGTGGTTGTCTATACTGAGTGTACTTGAGGGTACACATTACCTGTGTGACTTTCTTACCTGGATATGTGAATGTGTGTGAGGGTGGCTCTATGTATGTGTTCCCATGTACTTGAAGTGTTATGCATATAGGAATACTCGACGTGTGTGGGTGGGGGGGATGGGGGAGGACATGTTTATGAGCGTGTATGGATGGATCTGAAAGTGTACGGACATGTAAACAGGCATATCCATGTGATATCTGGATATGAATCTAATGTTTGAAGACTAGATGTGTGAAGACCTTTGTTGGCGCCATCAGTGAGCAGAATCCATGTGTATACCATGTAAGCACATGAATTGCTGTGTGTGTGCATGAGGGTGATGGGTGTGGGCACACTACTGTCATGCTAGCATTCCAACTCTGCCTTCTCCCTCCACACAGACATCAACATGGCTGGAGAGCCTAAGCCTGACAGACCCAAGGGGCTAAAGAGAGCAGCATCTGCCATATACAGGTGGGGCTGTCTGTCTGTCTGTCTGGGTGGGATGGCTCTCTCTTTCCACAGAGGGAGTAAATGCTGGTGTGACAGTGTGCTGAGTCTAGAACTTGGGGAGGTGTTTGGAG